TTAATTGTATGATAAATTACAAATTTACTCAACCAGTTTAACACATTGTGAATTTCAATAAGGTTATTTTTATAAAATAAATCGTAGTTAAGTAAATGTGGGAGAGTTCATTATAACATTCGTTTATTTGTACATAACCTATTGATAATGAACTTGACATAAAATAAAACAAATTCTGTGGGTTAAACACAGAGTCTGAAAGAAACATGTGGAAATGAGGCATGATGATAAATGTAACAGTTGTTGGCTACACTAATCAATACAATGTCACAACAATGTTTACATGAGGTCAAAATAATAAGTAACACAAACTTTTAATAAAGCTCTTTTAAGTGCTTGACTGGTGATAATACTTAATACTGGGTTTATCAGAACATTTGAGTTATCCATTGAATGGATGAACGATTAACTAATGTTCTATGAACTGCAATCAAATTACACTCAGAAATATGTAGTTGTGCATATTAATTTGATAGAGCTCACAGAAGGCATGTATTGTATGTGAACACAGCTTTAGATAGTGTAAACTGATGGTCCAGTATACTACTCACCTTTTTAATGAGCTGTTGTTGGTGTGCATGTTTCTGTCTCAGATCTGAGATCTCCCTCCAGAGAGCTTCATTCTCCCTTAACAACAAAACAAGTTTCACTTACAGAATTTGATGAAGATTCACCAAAGACGGTTATGCGAACTCGAGCACTTCATGCAGAACACTGCCAAACAATAGAGAGAAATCCCAGTCTTCCCTATGTAATGGGTATTAAACGCACTTGCATTCTAAATTCCTTGCAGTACTTCAATACATGTGAAAATTTCTCTGTCGATATTATGAACGATATCCTGGAGGGAGTGGCACAATATGAAATGAAACTGCTAATACTGCACTTTATGGACAACTACACAACATCAAAGGAAATAGACAGGAGAATTAAGAGCTTTAACTATGGGTACATGGAGCAAAACAACAAACCTCCTGCATTGAAATTAAGAGAGGACTCGAATGACTTGGGGTTAAATGCCATCCAATCCTGGTGTTTACTTTGCAATCTACCACTTATCTTTGGAGACTTAGTTTCTCCAAATGATCAACACTGGTATTTGTATTTGCTGCTGCTTCAAATAGTAAACATTGTATTTTCTCCAATGTTATCAAAGGGTATTGCTATTTATTTGAAACACTTGATCACAGAACACCATAGGTTATTCAAGCTTTTGTTTCAAAACAAGAGGCTGCTACCAAACCATCATTTTATGGTGCACTACCCTACATTTATTCTTAAAATTGAACCAATTTTACATAGCTGGTGCATGCGCTATGAAGCAAAGCACAATTTCTTTAAAAAACAATTAAAAAGCTTCAAAAATAATACTAAAACATTGGCAAATAAACACCAAAGACAAATAGCATACTGTTGGCAGACATTTGACCCAAACAGAGTAATGATTGGTCCAGGTAAAATGTTATCTTTAAAAGTGATGGACTGGGGCAGTAAGATAGCGAAGACTCTTCAGGTACCAATTAACACCAATGTATTTAAAGTTAAATGGGCAAAACACCTGAGAAATATATATTGTTCAGGTTTAGTTGTTTGTCTGAAAGTCCATTGTGAGATGCCAGTTTTTCACAAAATCCATGACATTGTTGTTAAAGATGAGATGCTACTGTTAGTTACTTTTGTACTACAAAACATATGTTTGGATGAGCATTTAAATGCATTTAAGGTTGTGTGTACAACAGAGGGACCTCATGTTGTTGATGTTAAAGAGTTGTTTTGTCACAAAGCATTTGACATACAAATGTCCTATAGTCAAGACGATTCAAGCTTGTTGTTGTCCCATACTGTTTCCAGTGACTTTTTTTTTTCAATGAGCCTAATATACTCTTTAATCAAGATGCATTGGATTACAATTTTAATATTTTTGTTTTATTTTTATTTATGTATTTTGTTAAAGGCTGAGCAGAGGCCAAAATTGTAATTTACAAAGGCCACAATTTTATTTTTGTGACTTATTTTTATTTTATGAAATTGATGGAAACACTTGTCAATTGTCAATATCACTCTCATCAGAGTGACAAATAGAATAGTTGACTTATGATTTGTAATTTGAACTAAAATGCAATTCTGTTTTGTGAAAAACAATTCTGTATTTAGCAGGGGTCGTGTTAACCAAATATTTTCCGTCATTGACCGTTTTTTAAATTTAAAACGGTGACGGACAAATCTGAGGGACATCCGTCATTTTGACAGATTGCAGGTTCTTTGGCGTCACACTGACACATGTAGACGTGCAGACAGAGTACGTTGCGGAGGTGACCAAATCAATCTAAAAAAGATTCCCATCTGAGCATCATCTCTGACCTGGACACCGTACTCAATGCATCACGCTATGTGTGTGGATTATTTGTTCAGCTTGTTTGGACTGAATATTAATTAAAAATGAATTTAAATTAAATGCTATTGAATATGTCATTATTATCATTTAAAAAATTTAAGTGACCGGTAAAAATAGATCATGAAAGGATTTTTATGACCCTGTCAGTCAAAATGACAGACAACAAAAAAGTCTAGCGCAACCTCTGGTATTTAGTGAAATCTAATTCTGCTTTGAGTGAAAATAAATTCTGCATTGAGTGAATGTAATTCTGTATGGAGTGAAATATTATTCTCCATTGAGCAAAAATAAATTCTGCATTGAGTGAAATGTAATTCTGTATTGAGTGAAATTTTATTCTATATTGAGTGAAATTGTATTCTGTATTGAGTAAAATTTTATTCTGCATTGAGTGAAATTTAGTTCTGTATTGGGTAAAATTACTGTTGTTAAAAATGAGTTGTTTTCATTTTATTTGACAAAGAGTAAATTATCATGATGTAGTGTAAAATATAAACACAGAATAGTAGATTTTACTCTGAAAAATTTACTCTACAAGTGGAGTAAATTTCACTCTATTTAGACTGGGACCAAATATTACCTGTGTCAGAGTAAAATTTTATTCAATTTTAGTATAATTTACTCCGATAAATTTACTGTGTACTTCTCAAATTCAAAGGGATAACTTTTGCGAAGGACTGAATCTGCTGTAGGCTTGAGGTCAGAGCGACCGCAGACAAACGGGAGTGTAAAGACCTCCCCTCATCATTAATGTCGCTGTATGGGAATACTTCAGTTTCACAGTCAGTAATGACGACAGACAAAGACATTGTGCAACTGCTGTCAGATAAGTAGCTGGTAGCACATCGAAAAATGCAGACTTGTTTGAAAGAGCATCACCAGTGATGTCCTATTGGAAATAACACCTACAAAAGTGGGACAAGGAAAAAATTGGGTTCAGAGCAAACCCAGCCACCCAATTTGGAACCATGACCTCAAAACCAAGTTACGTACCGAACCATGATTTTTGCGTGCCGCTACACCCGTACTTCACAGAATTATCTGATCTGGACCAGCTCATTGGAAACACAGCACTGCAGGTTTCCCCTCACCTCAGCATCTGCAGACACCATTACAAAAGATTGGCAGTACCTGTCGGTACCCTACATGACGGGCCAGGTTCAGACTGATTGGTCAAGTTGACTGGGCTGGGCTCATGCATTTGTAACGTAGAAGAGCAATCGCCATTTATGTGTCAGGGACAGATTAAGACAAACTCAGTGCCAGGGTTTTTTCTGCATAGAAAATTGCGATTTAGCCGACTCCACCTCTCTACAAAATTCATGTACAGTTGAAACCGCTTATGTTGCGACTTTCCAATCCCTTTAAAGTCCCTTGAGAGGCTGAGTATATTTGAAATGACAAGCTGATGCTCAGAGAAGCACGGTGAGTCCAGGTAAGTTTCATGTATTTAATAAGAAACACAAAAGTTACTAGTGGTTTTCCGATTACAGACGCACATAAGATGGAAAACGTGTACACTGTGTTGCGTATGTATATCAAAGCGATCAAACTAAACAAAAGGCGGTCAACAAAAATTACGGCTACCTAACTCGCCTCTCTCCTCTCCCAGTGCAGGTGATTCAGCCCCTATTGTAACTTACGGCTGTCATCTACGGCGCCAATGTGACCCAAACCCCACATATCACCGTGGCAACCAGACCCAACAAATCAAAACCTGAATAATGATCAGCAAAAGCTCCTACAGCTTATCTTATCCCTGTTTGTCCCAGGCCAAATCATTTAGCTGGTTGATTACCATAAACTAATAGTAGCTTCTGTATTAAGTCCCAGAACTTCAACTTGAAGGAAAGCAACGGACTCTCTCTCTCACACACACACACACAGAGATTATATTACAGGATTCCAGACTGCAACCATTTAGTCGTAATTTGCAATAACTTTTGGAGACCATGTGACTTAATCTGTTTACTGGGCGCACAAGTGCGACATGCAAATATGCCCCCAATTTATTAGAGAGGCTAACGTAACACTGTGTTTTTAGCCTAAAAGTCCACTACTGGAAGGAGCGATGCTATTGGATGTAGAGATACTAACGCAGACCCCACACGTGCCCTTGGACGAGAGCTTGTGTGCGGTGTTTCCGGTGTTTTCTTACAAACATGAACGCGGCTCTGAGGAGGATATCAGAGGACTTTTAGGCTTAAAACACACTGTGTCAATTACACCTTTTTGAGTCGAATTTTAATGTCTGGGCTTCAGGACACTTGGATTATACCATACGAGCAGTATGGTGGCATGTGTTTTTTTTTTATTACGTCACCTGTTTTATTACGGCTGTTAACCCCTGAAACTCCAAAAGTGTTTTTTTGACTCAAACACCTCACCCATATGGAGGTTTTTTCCTATCTTTATTCAAGAGCGTGCTCTTTCAGTTCGAGCACATGACTTGCTTTCTCTATGACCTTTTAGAATAATAGGACAGGGGAATTCCATATAATAAAACCGTGGAGGGCGGAGGTGGATGAACCCGGTTAAAGAATAAACGCCCGCAACTAGGCAGGGATGATATCATTAATTTAATTAGTTGACCAGTGGTCAACACGACACCTGGCATTCTATTGGTTGGGGAATTTTGCGAGGGTTGTAGCACAAAAAAATCAAAGAGCAGAGGATAATCTGAGAGCAGACGATTCACGAGCGCACAGAAAGCAGCCGTTTTGCGGAGAAGGGCCGAAGCTTGAGTGCAGGAAATCCATGCGAGCAACAATATACCTGAGTGCAAGCACACAGTTTAAGCAGAAACAGAGCAAATGTAAGTGCAAACAGGGGCTATTTTAGTGGAAGAGCAGGGTTTTGATGAAAAGTAATACACAATCTGAACATAAATTCAACAAGTCATGCGCTCCAACTTAAAAACTCTTGAATAAAGATAGGAAAAAACCTACATACACTCGCCCCTTCATCAGCATAGTGGTGAGTAGATAACTGAATTTTAAGCGGGCCATACATAGTGGAAAATACTGATGCTCACACATGCATGAAAACATGACATGTCTCAGCAAGGTGAAAAAGGAACAAAAAGGAAAAATAGAGGTCTTCACAAGAATAGGATGTGGAATACAGTAATTCAAAGTCACAGGCAGCAGGCTTGTAGTGCTGACCATGTGCAAAGATATCCAGATGGACTTGAACTTGAGGAAACAATTAAATAAGTAACAGGCAGACCCTCACAGCCACTAAACCCATAAATTGTCCTCAAGTTCAACTTCGTTAAATGATGGAATTCTCGACATGTTCTCGGGTGGTTGAACATGTGTTGGTGTTTTTCATTATATATTGTTTCTGCACAGAGCTTTACACATACCTCTTGAGTGTTGCCAGCCTAGCATCAATGTTCTCCTGTTTGCCGTGAACACTGTGGACACTTGCCAAGATTTTCGTCAGATCTTCCTGTCGAATCTTATTGTCCTCTGGCCGAGCGTTAGAAACCTGAAGATACAATCAAATCTTAGGTTTACAGTATCTCAACACTAGCAGCATAAAAGGTGATGGTGATTTTATATAATGAGTTTTGCACAAGACATGCAAATGAGAAAAGAAAGGGGGTCGAGCACTTTGTCTAAAATTAATTTCTTTGTCCTAACTGTATAAAAAAAACCTTATCCCTTAATGATGTAATTGTCAGCAACCCTCCATAGCCGGCTTTGTCTTTTTTACACTTCTCATAACATATAAGTGTTGAGAGTGTTTAGGGTCGTTCATTCATTGTAGAGCTGTGTCATTCATTCTTTGAAGAGGAGTGAACACACAAATTAAACATTCAAGTGATCCCTTGGATCCAAGAATTGGACGAAGCTCCTTTGGCAGCAATACCCTCAAACCAGGAGGGAGTTTGAGATCTTTCCTCTTACAAAGCTGGTCAGACATATTATTAAGATGTCTGTTGACAACAACTTTCTGAGCTTATGCCATGGAATCTTTACAGTATAAGGACAGCCTCTGACCCAAAGGGAAGATAGCATTTGTTTGAAGTGGTGCTGTATAACATTTACTGTCATGTTTATAAAACATACACTGATAAACTAAGGAATTCCTCTTCCTATTTAACACCAAGTTGTCCCGACCCAGAGGCAGCATAACCCAAATCATGATTTTTCATTTTCATGATTCTCATGAAATCCTGGTTTTAATTTCATCAATTATTTTTTAAATAGAGATGAATAAAGTAATTTTCTTTTGAGACATAAAATACAAGATCTTAAAATACATTTCAACATAAAGTCGATTGATACATTTCTGTACCGCAATTATCCAAACCATAAAAATAAAATAGTAACTTCTGCTTTTGAAAAGGCTTTTGATAGTTACATGAAACAAAAGGTATTTTTTTTACATAAAAACAACTATTTACTGCAACACCCCTAAAATGTACAACCAGTTTTCACAATTATCTGACATTATAAGTCATGCACAACTATAATAACAAAACAAACATTTTCTTCAGACAGAGAAAATAAAGTAAGAAAATAAAAAATGATTTATTATTTCCCTCTAAACCAGCACCTGTTTGGGTAATGACATACATGTTTGAGGAATGATATTAAAGATATTTGTAATGAGCATTAGTATATGTAAATAAAGTATCAGTTCTAGTACAGTGTGAATCAATTTCACTTGCTTTGGTTCCAAATAAGGTGATAACAGGTGCAATGGAGAGGCAAATGCAAGACAAGCCCCCAAAAAGAGAATGGTGGTGGCCACAGAAAATTGTTCTCCTCATCCTTCCTGACTGATTCTGACTAGCACATCCACACAAAAAGGTTTGCTGTGTCTCCCAGCACAATCACAAGAGCATGGGGGAGATACCATGAAACTGGCGGTTACACGATGAGAGCTGGACAGGGCTGTAAAGGGCAAGGAGGAGCCTTTAGCAGGCTACTGGCATGCATGTTTCTGACCAAACTGATATAAGTGTTACCTTAATTTTTTAGAGCAGTGTAATTACAAAACTGGTCATATCAGCTATTTCAAGGGTTTTAGAAATGAGAGGTTTGATATGAGTCGATAATTACCTAAAACATTTAGGCCAGTGGTCAGCAACTGGCAGCCCATGGGCCAAAACTGGCCTGTCAGCAAAAATATCTGCCACAACATGATTGATTACTAAATATCGAGTCTGAGGCGCAACGGTGCAACCAATGTAAAAAGTTAGTCTGATGCCCTGTTTTCTTTTACTGTATATTCAGTAGCTCTAAAACAAACCTTTTGTCTGGGTTGATAAACTTGATTCCAGGTTTACCATCTCTTGACTCCAGTTTGCTTCTGTAGATGTCATTAGCTGAGGGGATCACATGCCTTCTCCAACTTAAACCAAATGATGCTGTGCTTTGTTTGTTTAAGTAAAATAGAAAATGACACGTTTTACTTACTTTTCTGCCCCTATACATATATGAGTAGATTTTTTGGTTTTATGGTATATACTGTATGTGTAGTAGTGGTATGTTTATTGCACTATATTGTGAACAGGGTTGTCAGTTATTCCCACATGAATTGAAGTACACACTTTTATTTTGAAAGGTGCAAATCGCAACTTCCGTTGTTATGGTTGTTTGTTTCTTAGCTATTGTTCTTTCTAAGCTAATTATGGGTGCATCGCACCCGCAGGCGAAGCTCAAAAATCGCGGGGAAAAAAATGTTTTTCACATACTTTTGGTGCATTCAAACTACTCTCAAGCCACAAATGGAAGTTGTCGGACATGACTTGATCAAAATAAAATAGAGTTTGTTTGCTTTGCAGACATGTACTCATGATGTCATAGAACATGCACTATGACAGCTCTCTGACCTATACCTTTGGCTGTATCATTTTTTTGAAATATGTTTTACGGTCTCACCTCTCCATTGGATGCCATGTTAATTTTGAAAAAAAAAAAAACGTCAGAGAGGAGAACAACAGTAAAAACTCGCCCCCACGGTCACATTTTGTAACTCTAACCAATAAAAAACATATGTTTACGTTCGGCAAAGTCTCATTTCACAGATTCATCTCTCTCACAACTGGGAGATTACAGGTGCACGCAATCAAGTCAGTGAGTATCACAACGACATACACACGCAGAGGAGAGGGCTCCCCTTTATATTTACTGATTGAGTCCAGTGGTTACAATGAGCCTAGATTTTCAAAATAACCCCTCCCCTCATAGTAACAGGGTGTTATCCGGAAACCTGTAAAGAGCTTAGATTTTCAAAGTAACCCCCCATGGGTTTATACATGTGTTGTGTTGTTATTTTTCTAATGACCAACACAGTATGTTAGATTAGGTACTTTATGTAAATTGTATTTTATTTACTTATTTATTTTCACTTCAATTATTTAATTTTATTTACTGTTCTTGGTAATGGTTGATACTTAATGTTTGCTCTGTGCTCGGGACTTTACTTGGGAAAGCGCTGAGCCCACAGTATCCACATGAAAGAGACTATGAACATGTTATGTCTCCATGATTACAGATGCTTACAGTGTGCCAGAGAAAGTCTGTGAAGGCCCTGGTAGCTGTATTGCTGTTGCTGTGGTTGCAATAAATTGTCTTAAAGTCATTGGCAGCCTTCTGTTGACTGATGAACAGAGAAATAACAAATAGATGACTCCACCTTCCTCTTGATGTTCTCCAACAGGTCGTCCTGTCCATGTTTGAAGTAGGGGTGCTGAAACTCCACTGGACCGTCTCTCTCCTGTTTCACAATGCCTGTGTCAATGTGCATAACCTTACGAAATCCATCTGCATGCACACAAACACACAGGCATAAACAACTTAAAACACATTTAAAAAAAACTCCTAAATGTATACAGTATATGCAAGAACAAATGCAAAGGCAAACAGAGAAACAACCCTGATGCACCCAGCATCTGATCAGACAACATAAGGTACGGATATAATGGCTGATGTAACAGAGCTATCCTTATACTGTTGTAGCGGATTAGACTGTGTTTACAGTCTGCACATGGCTATATTGGAAAGGATCTAAAGTGATGCATTTTAATACATTTAACCGTAAAGCTTTGAGGCTTCAATACTTGTGCCGTTGCTATGGTAACTGATGTTGAACGTGTTATTACAATGCAATAACAAAGAGTAGATCATTCAACATTATTCATGAATCGGGGTAGCTGTGGCCATCTTTGAACTGCAGTGTTTTAAATTCAACCCTGGTTCTGCCAGGTATTTGTTTGTAGCACCTTCTACAATGTCAGGGTATAACATTTTCCATAGTCCTCTATGCACTTTGGGTCACTGTACAACTACTGCAAAAAACCAACTCACTTCAGAACGTCTGAACGAGGTAAATCATGCATTCTTACACATGTTGAGCTGTCTGATGAAACTGGCCATGTTGTTGTGTTTGAAGAACTTGGGGAGAATCTCCTTTGCAAAGCGCTGCTCGTCCAACACTCGGAAGCTGTTGCCCTCCTGCAAACAATCAGCAAACACGGTCAAAGCGGGCTACGGGATTTATTTTAGAGTTATACACTCAACACTGGGAGAGAGCTTTTCAGTGACTTAGTATCAATGTCTCAATAAAGAAGAGATGCTGGCATGACGCAGATAGTGATCTGGATGAGTACGCTAGCCAGAACGGCAGATATAGGATTTAGAGAAACTGGCTGGCTTACTGAGCTAACAGTTGATGTTTGGCCTCAGCTGACTAATTGTTCTGTATGCGAAACGACTAGTTGGGTGGCACTAAGATGTAGGGCCGATGAACAATAAACTGTGAAGCGTTGTTTGTCAAATTTATTTTCCCAGCTGTCTAGTTGTGTACTTGGCGTTAGCATCCTGATGGGATAACGGCGCCGCTTTAGCATTACCTGACTCCAGCAGATTAATTCATTGGTGTCCGCATCCTCGACCAGCGTCCACAGCTTGGCGAGGAAAGCCGGGACGTTCGAGTTGTGCTTCATCTTCCAACTACAACAACAGAAACACCTGGAAATGACACTACGCAGTGAGGGCTTCTTCTAGTTGTTGTTGTTCTTCTTCCTTTTTTTCTTCTTGCCCCTCTTCTTGCTCCTCTTCTTGCTCCTCTTCTTGCTCCTCTTGTTGTTGTTGTTGTTGTTGGTGTTGCTGCTGCTGCTGCTTCTTCTACTTCTACTTCTTCTTCTTCTTCTTCTTCTTCTTCTTCTGCTTCTGCTTCTGCTTCTTCCGCTTCTTCTTCTTCTTCTGATGTTTAATGGAGCGTGGCAAACAACATATCGGTGCATTACCGCCACCGTCTGGAAAGGAGTGTGAGTCTGAATTATATTGACCTAAACTATGTAATAGAGTCCAGTGATTTTTAGAAAGAAGAAATCTGAATATTTCCTGCATCACCCGAGTCCCTCTGTAATATATAAATATTCTGTTATACAACTGTTTCTTTGGAGTGAGTTTTTAAGTGAATTTTAATTTCCCTGAGGGAGTCTTCCCAAAGGGATCAATAAAGTTCTATCTAATCTAATCAAATCTAATTATGGACAGAGTACGAATAAATTATATTTCCTTCCACTCAGATGTGTGCAGGTTGATTTCAATCCCTATTCTCTTTATTAACAATACAGTATGTGCTATCTCCAAAATTATGTATTCTCTTGTGTCTGAGTGACTATTGTTGATGCTTTCAAGGGCACTGCTTGAATCTAAATATATCAATAATTGGATATTTTCTTACTCAATCCAGATTAACACTATATTTATGGCTAACAGTTCCACCATACACATTGCCAGGTTATAATTAACCCTTTTGTTTCTTATAATGTCCATGTCTGGAATGATGAATGCTATTCCATTTAACAGTTTATGATGCATCAGTATATATTATTCTGGATATGTTCCTTCTAAATAACTACCTACTTGGTTTTGTTTTATTCCTTCTCCTTTATCCTTCTTTGTTAATAAGTGAAAGTAAACATCTCCTTTTTTCAAAGTCCATGGTGGGTTACATAAAGTGGCACGGTGGGACTTCATTTCTTGACCACTATTCCCATGTCCTTCGCCCTCTTCTCAATTGTCCAGCCAAAACACTTTACTTTCCTTCTCTCTTTTAGACATTGTACCAGTATGCTCTTAACTAGATGAGTAGTGTTATGTCCCTTCAAGTTTGCACATGTTAATGTTAGTTGTGATCTTCCCATTTCCACCTGTAAGGCTGACTGGAGTGATTCTGGTGCTGAATACCGTCCAAATATTTTCACATGGTCTTAGCTGCTGATTCATATAAGACACATTCATATGTGGTCATTTTGTCTTTTTTCAATGAATTAAGACTTTATTAAAACAATTATACAGATATTTCAACCATTTTTCATGCCAAAAGAAAAAAAGAATGCATTTAGTACCTAATTGTTTTGGATGAGTTAATCTTAGATACTATAAAAAATACAACTACATTAGGATCTACAAAAGATCTGTAATGATATTGTTTGAGATACTCCCTTTCTGAGGTTTTTACAGTTTTTCACAATTGTTAAAACACGTTTTTTGAATCCTCTCCTTTTCTCAGAATTCTAAACACAAACTCTTTCCTGTAAACTACATTCACAAAACCTCTGATTCCTTTTGCAAAACCACGCCATCGCCTCAGAGTAGTTTTACATGTGCTCAAAACTGAACAATGTTGTCAGATCTTGCACGAGTCGGTCAAAATAGAAAAACTGCTGAGCTGTCATTAAACACTACACCAAAATATTGAAAACACAGTGGTCAAGGCCTGTTGCTCATGGAGAAATGTTTATTGGTCACAATAAAGTACTTTACAAATTTGATCGTTGAGCTTCATTTAGCATCATCCTGTCTTTGGGCTGGGTCAGGCCACAGCACTTCATCCACATCACACGTTATATTTGGTCTTGCCAGGCAAAGGGGGAAAAAAACCCTAGTGTGCCGTACCCAGCCCTGACGCATCTCCTCACCAATGTCATCACAGGCTAGTTCCATGGACTCAAGAAGATTACTGTAAGCCTGGAGTAGGGCTGTCGCTCTTACACCTTCCATCTCCAAGTGGAGAAAAACTCCTCTATTGCATTGAGGAAGGGAGAGTACGGTGGCAAGTATAGGTTACTGTAATGATATTCTGATTCATATTGAACCATTCTCTGACTTGGACAGTGCGGTGAAAACTAACATTGTCCCAAATTATAACATAAATATGCTGCTCAGTCATCTCATGTTCCTTCTGTTCATTTGCAGACAACACATCTCTAAGACCACCAAGAAAGGTGAGAAGGTGCTGGGTGTTACAGTATATGGCCTGAGTGGCATGATGGTGAAGAACACCCCGGTTGCTTATAGCAACACACAGTGTTATATTACTGTACCACCATCAGAAATTGCCACTCTTGGTCTTCCTCTCCCTCCTCTTCCTCTGCCTCCTTCTTGTCCTCCGCCTCGACCTCCTCTTACACACACTCGTCCTCTGTGTCTCTGATCCATTGTTGTCATGAGCTTGCAGGACCAACCTGCTTGCACTCTGAACTGGCTTATATTGATTGTCATGTTGTCATGACATGAAGAGAAACAAGTGTGATCAATTTTGAATCGTTGTGTTCAATGAATGACACGTGTTTCATTCGTGTTCATATTTTGCCACTGGTTTTTACCATTATGCGTCACAAGTGCATCACAGTGACAACGGTGTTTTATTGCATGAGAATGTGTTTAGAGTTTTGCAAAAGGGAATACTGAGATCTGCAAATAGTGTTTTACTAGGTGAAGATAGTTTATGGTTTTTTCAAAATGATGCTCAAATCAGTGAATGAGTTTAGAGAAATTAGTGTTTTAGCAATTCAGAAAAACTGTAATTATCTTAGAACATTTCTCAAAATGTATATTGTCTTTTAGCCACTAGATGGTAGACTTCATTCACTAAAAATCCTCCCTGCTGACAACTAAACCTGTATGCTGCCAGCACTAATGCAATCTGTTTACTACTTTAAACTGTCTGTCTGTTAACAGTACAATGCTTAACATGTCTGGCCCCCTCTGTATTTTCAGGTATTCTCCTGGTATTTGAGCAGTCTTGGTTTCCCACTGACTACTGGCTACAGGTAGCAGCTCAGCAAACTCAATGCTGTGTGTAAAACAATAACCCACCATTAAAAGCAAACCTTTAATAAAGTTTTTTTTAAATATTGACATATGGGCTAACATGGTTTAAATCACACAGCAAAGGTCTGTTGACTGTCTGTCTGTGTGCAGTAACAGTGTGCAGGAAAAAAAACTTACACAGGCCTTTTCAGAAAAACCCCTTCACACCTAAATAAAACTTGAACAGACAGAGAGGGTTCGAAAAGTCTGATTTTCAGGCTATTAGCCATTACTGCTGAGTGAGGTTGACATGTGTTGGGCTAATTGGATTGGAGGGTAATATTACATCAAAAGACGTCACCCGCTCCTTTAAAATGGCTGTAATTGGGACATTCTTTATCTTAGACACAGGGTAGATTATGGAGGAGCAGGAATCAGAGCGCATTACAGCCACCCAGGCTACACATCCAAAGAGCTTTAAACCTTTAAACCTAAACAATATGACTAGGCTACTCCTATACGGTGTAGAAAGTTTAGGAGGCCTAGGGAAGGGCTTTGTACAAGTAAGTCCCTGTTCACTTGTATTGTATTATCATGTATAAAACTCAGCCTTATCTTTTCCTTTTTTCTGTCGTTTGAAAGTTTACGTTCAGGTTAAAGCTGCAGTCCTAATGCAGCGTTCACACCAAATGCGATGGGAATCTACGCGTCGTCCTAAAAACGTAATTCACACCGCAGGATTATTTAGGTTTATTCAAAGAGTAGCAAATAAAGAAAAAAAGAATCAAGCTGTCATAACCTTGGAAAAACTCAAAAGCAGAACAAGAGTAGCTAAGGTGCACTCTGACAGGCTGTATGCCCTGTGATTTTTGTGTGGGAAAATGTCAGTATTCTGTGGTTTATTCAGAGAACCTCAGCAAAACCACTATACATGTCTGCACACAAATACTCTTGTTACTGTGGAAAATAGGTTTTTATGGGCTGCATGTGAATGTGTCAAGACTTATTTATGGAGATTGTATATTGCAGCTCCTTTCATAGAGTTCCCTAGAGTGATTGATGTATTTCACCCACATTCCAAGCTGTGCACGTCTAGGTGAGAATGAAGCCGATCTTGTCTATAGGAAGTAATTTCACATATTCAGGTAGATCTTTCAATAAAAAATTGCAATGCACAGTTTATGTTCCATTTGCACGTTAATAGCAGTACTGTTATAGCTATGATGGCGAACTCAAGCTCTGGACAAAGAGAGGCAGGAAACTGGAGTTGGAATCAATAAAGGTTTATTCACAGATCTTGAATGAATAAGAGCAGAGGCGAACTGGGCAATGTGAAACTGACCTAGTGGCTTGTGGAGCCAAGCTGGTGGAGGCTGGAGGCTGGAGGCAGGTGGAGGGTGGCTTGTTGAGCTAAGCTGTTAACTGGCAAACAGATGGGAAGAAGGCTGCAGAGCAGGAATGGCAGAGCAATGGCAGGAGAGGAGATATATAGCACGAGATCTGGAAAGGTGGGTGTGGCAAGACTTTTCTTTTTCATCTTTTTCAGGTTTTTTGAGGGAATCCAGCTGCTGAAGCTCTGCTTCTGGCTCACCTGTCTCCACATAGGAAAACATACACACACACACACACACACACACACACGCCACACACACACACACACACACATTTTTAAATTGTACTTTGCTGGTATTCTTTTATTTTCATTCAGTATCTCATTTATATACAGGATATATCTGGTAATTCACACACAAACAAATTTTTTTGTGAGGTTCACTTACAGGTACAAATAAAGTACACCATTTGATAAATAATCACGATGATTTACAGTAAATGCAGTAGCTAGGAAAACAACGGTAATGATTGTTCTCCCTTATAGACATAGAAATATTCATAATCATTCATAATTGTCCTTTCAAATGCACATTGAGTCTACATTGATTTTAATTATATGATTTTGTGGTATATTTGTAAACCCCAATTCTTTTGCAGATGACTTGTAACCAACTCTGCATGGTCACCAGCATTGAGACAAAGTGGGCTGGGTCAGTCCATGACTCCTGGATCTTGAGGGAGTCTGCACTCCACAGATTGGAGCATGGCATGGCATACACTTTT